GAGGCACTCAAAGATCCATTCCCAAGAAATACAGAGGACCCCAAATAGAATCAACCCAAGAAGATCTTCTCCTAGACACATTATAGCTAGATTGACCAAAACCACAGACAAAGACAAGATACTAAGACTGGCAAGAGAAAAACGGCAAGTTACCTACAAAGGGTATCCCATCAGACTAACGGCAGACCTCTCATCAGAAACATTGCGAGCGAGGAGAGAATGGGAGAATATATTCAAAGCATTAAGGGAAAAGCAATTTCAACCGAGAATTCTGTACCCAGCAAGATTATCGTTCATTTGGGAAGAAAAGACACGAACATTCTTAAATAAACAAGACCTGAAAGAGTTTACCAGCCCCAGACCAGATCTCCAAGAAGTTCTTAAGGAAGTGCTATGTCAGTAAAATTAAATGCAGACACACAGAAATAAGAGTTCAGAAACTAAGAAAATGGGCAACTTAATTGTAGGGACAAAGTCTGGAGTTGAGTATTATATCTCAGAGTTCAATCTGGAAGATTGAACCTCAACAGAAACAGAAGAAAATTAAGTACATGAGACTGAACTGATGAAACGGCATTCTATGACTTGACTAAAATATTGCTGCTTTTCTTCTAAGCTTTGTTGTCCGGTTTTAAGGATTTTTGTCCTGTCTTGAGCTGTCAATGGATTCATGTACCTACTATTTGAACAGAATACTAACCAGTTTCTAGGTCTTAAGTTTCAAGGAAATATCCTTACCAGTTCAAAACTGCTTTTTTTGAAACCATCAGCTGAAGTTGCTATTGTAAGTAGTTAGATTACTTATGATATTGTGTGATCAACGAAATGGTGGGAGAAAAGGAATTGAAGATAATTGTAGACAGCAGAGATAGTGTAATAAGAGAGTGAAATGGGGCAGAGGGTCAGATATAGGGTAAAAAACATATATATATATGAAAGTAGTAATGGAATTTTATGGATGATAACATGCATGATTAAGACACTATGCAGTTTACTCTAGAGGGGAAACCACATTTAGTATGTTGTGATGATGCTCAGGGAATGAATGTAAATTAAAAAAAAAAGAATTCAGAGAAAAAAATACTAAAACTGTTACCAAAATTTAAAGAAAAAACTGTGTATTTGATGACCACAGTAAGCTATATAGCCCCAGCTAGGTACCATTTTATAGTATGTTCATTCTACTCACTGAGGTTTATGCCTAAAGTCAGACATGGGTTCTTGTGTATGTAAATATCAGCTGTGCTTGTTATTGCAAATATTTAGACAAATTAAGTTCATTAGCAAATCAATTAAATGGGGGGATAGGCATAGAAAGCAAACAGGGATAACAGAGACAATGGGAGGAGGGTTGGACAGGGCAGAGGGTTAGGGATAGGGAATCAAGGATGGCAAAAAAAGAGAAAAAACTCAAAATATACAAGACATAAGAAATGGAAAATTGTTTGTTGATAACACATATGTTGATGTACTTGATTGAGCCAACAGACAATGTATTTTGGATGAAAAATTCATTTTGTATACTGTAATGATGTATAGCATATTAATGTTAAAAAATAAAAACAAATAAAAAATGTAGAAAGTAAAAAAAAAAAAGAAATACAAAAAGTTCAGCTTTAAAAAAAAAAAAAAGGAAGGTTCATGGCGACACTATGTTAAGACAGTCTATAGGCACCAATTTTCCAAGAGCATGTCGTCACTTCCTGTCTGTTTCACATTTTTATCATCCTTGCAGCATTTCGAACTTTTTCATTATTATTTTAAATGTTATGTTGATCTGTGATCAGTGATCTTTGACATTACCATTGTCATCATTTGGAGGTGCTACGAATTGTGCCTATGAGACAGAGAACGTCACCGAATGTGCTGTTCTGACTGCTCCACTGGCCATCCTCGCTCCCTCTCCTTGGGTCTCCCTATTCCCTGAGACACAACAGCACTGAAATTAGGCCAATTAAGAATCCTGCACGATCTCTAAATGTTCATATGTAAGGAAGAGTCGCATGTCTCTCACTTTACATCAAAAACCAGAAATAATTAAGCTTAGTGAGGAAAGCAGGTCAGAGGTAAAACGGGCTGAAAACTAGGCTACATGCACTGCACAATCAAGTTGTAAATGTGAAGGAAAACTTACTGAGAAAAAAAGTGCTATTCCAGTGAACAAACAAATGATAAGTGAAACAGCTTTACTGCTGTTACGTCGAAACCAGCCAGCCCTAGCATTTCTCTCAACCACCATCTAATTCAAAGCAAGGCCTTAACTCTCTTCAATTCTATGAAGGCTGAGAGAGCTGAGGAGGCTTCATAAGGAAATTCGGAAGCTAGTAAGTGTTGAGTTATGAGATTTCAGGAAAGAAACCATCACAATAACCTAAGAGTGTAAGATGAAGCGGCAAGTGCTGGTGTAGACGCTGCAGCAAGTTAGAAGATCTAGTTACATCACTGGTGAAGGTGGCTCCACTGAACAACAGGTTTTCAAGGTACAGGGTTGTCCGGGAAGTCATGATGTATTTTCACTGTTCTTCAAACGTCATTTATTTATGTAAAGAACAAAGATCAATCCATGATATAGTGCCCATTTTTTTTCTATAACTTTTCGGCTTCTTTCAGAGAGCTTCATAATTCCTCGTCCATAGAAGGACCTGCCTTTATTGGGGAAAAAAAAAAACAAAACTAAACAAGGTGCCGATTTACAACCTCATCTGAATTGAACGTTGTACCACACAGAGTTTTGAAGAGAGTGAAACAACTGGAAGTCTGACAGCGCAAGGTCAGGTGAGAATGGTGGGTGTGGCAACACATTTCATCCAAGCGCCCATGATTTTTGATGGGTGATAAAACTTGTGTGGTCTCACACTGTCATAATGAAACACAACTCCTTTG